AATCACATTTATACTATTTCTTGCTGTTGTCTATTATCACGCTCCTCCTGTTCTATRTATCCAGTTGTTTCTTTTCCAAAACTATGACAACAACCACTGTTTTTTGTCGCATAAATATATACGAGCAAGAGATCCTGGAGAGATGCATGCTTATTATCATTGAATATTTTTGCTCAAATTAAACATAAGCCAAGCTTTCTATTTTATTTCCTTTATCGAGTGCTTGCAAAACTAAGTTAGAATAAATCTCTTGTAAACTAAGCCAATGTAAGCCAATATTTAGGTACAAGTTAGTATGCAAACAACATAATTAAAATTTCTTTTTATTCTTTTTTGTTTGCATTTGGATCATTGTTTTTGCAAACAGGTGTAAGCGCTTAATTTGTCAAAATAAACAATTAACCGAAACTAAAAAAATATGCATGATTAACAGTGAAAATATGTCAATTATTATTAAATGACATATAAAAGTTTAGTAGCAAAGAAAAAGAATCGGATTTTAATGTTTACTACCCCTAGATTCCGAAAAAATTATTAAACGAGCAATGCAAATATTTCCAGATTATCTTTTTTTTAATGTTWAAAATCAGGAGGTTTATCAAAACACCTGCCCTGCTTTTTTAAGTTCATTGAAACCTTTTCTCAGCATTAATTAATGCACCGAATTGTATGAAAACTTCACTTGACAAGGATTCTTGATGCCAAACCTTCCCAACTGTTAGACGAATGTCAAGCTAAGCATATGGCTCTCATTCAAACAGCTTTCTTCCTGGCTATAATCAAGGTAAATATATACCCTATGCATGAATTTTTCTTCGTACAAATCTAACTTTTAACAGAGTTATTAATATCTTATTATGATAGAGTTCCGCAAAGAAGTATTGCATTTAAAAGAACCGAAAGTAGTTCACTGACCTTTGATTATTTAAACTTTGTCCCCATATATATATTATTTGTCATTTTCGGCCTTATATTTTCGACATTTCTGTTCAAACCTCTGTTGCAAACTGGCTGTCAGTTCGCGCTACCTTTTTACTGGATGCTCAAGAAAATAGAACCAAACAAGAACCTTCGGGTGGGTCTCAGGTTGTGAAAAAGAATGTTATTCTTGAAAACCTTCAAATATACTTCCCTCATCCCCTTGCGCAAGCTCATACTTTCTTTAATTATTTTTATTGAAAAACTTGATTATTTAGCTAGGGTATTAGCAATGGCGCAAAAAAGTTAAATGCTTGAAGGTCCCTTGAAAAATGATTATAAGTGACTAAGTGTGTGATGTGCAATTTCAACGATGTACCAAAGAAATCTCTGAAGATTGAAATGTTCTACAGTTGAGTTCATTAGAGTTTCTGTTTTTTAACGCGCTCTTTTAGTGTCAAAAGAATAAAATTTTAGAACATGAACCTCGGACATGTGTCAAAAGTCTGCATRCTTAAAGAATTATCATGCAACAAACTGATTCCATGGGAGTGAGAGATGATTTGAGGTGATAAATAACATAGTTTTTCCTTTCCCTGCATTTAGGTTTCATTATGGCCGTCTTTTGGAGAAAGTAAGCAAAACGTTTTGTACTTCTTTATAAATTAGTCATATAATAATTCCCGTTTATTCACTCTTCCAACCTGCACTACATTTGCATATTTTTGAATAAGAATTATCATTATAAAATTAATTCAAGGGTTTTACGTTGTTTAACGATAGAATTTCCCGAGCCCGTGTTGTTTCTACCTCTCAATAAACAATACGGTACACGAGACATCAGTAAGAGTAATCTGACTACGACGGCTGTTGGTGTTACCTTATCTCCTGGACCAGATGGTGAACCAGACGGGTCGTACTACTTTCCAGGAAGCTCATCCAGTTACATTGACGTGCCTAAAGATCAGAAAACAGATACAAGGTGACGATAGGATATCTCTAACATGAAAAGAGGGGAGACAATGGTAGTAGATTCTGAAATCTGTTGAAATATTTGTTGTTCGAAGCTCAACAATTAGAAGTGTCTTGACTCCTAAAAGCAAATAAATCCCTTTTTTCTTTAATTTTTCTGATTCCATATTCTTGTTCGTGTCGGATTTTCGACTCCAGAAAAAAATACAATTGCTTGGATTTCGACGCGGGATCTTCAATCATTGAAAGCAAAAATCCATATTTTTTTAAAAATTAAGATATCTTATATGTATGCTACGATATTCTTGAAATCTCTTGGAAATCGCTGCCCTTCAAGTGACAAATTTGGATTAAATCACGTTAATGTTTGAATTTAGATATTCTATTACTGCGAGTGCATGGATCTACTACCAGGGTGCAATAGGTCCGTTTTTGCACTACGACACACAAGCATCTTCTAGGGCAGTTCATTTCTACATAACAGGTAGGTACAATTATTTTACGAATATTTTTTGGAAAAAGATGGATAAATTGACTTCTTAAAAATACAAAATTGCATTTTTAGGGGTGGATATAGATGGGGTTATTAGGGTGGATAGCCGCCTCCTTTGTTAGAGCTCAAGAGTATAAAAACAGAATCATGAACGACTAAAAAAAACACTAAAAAACAAGAAATGAA